ATCCACGTTTGATTTTGTTTTAGCCCTTTTATTATTATGATTGGATAAAAACTTAGTTCTATCTGGTTCTATGATAAAACCTGCCTGCTCGCCGCATCGATCGTGTATTCCTGCGACGTTGCCAACTCGACCGCCCGACCGACACCAGGGCAAACGTTGCCACTCCGCGCCGGCCTATTATTATTTTAGTAAGTCGCTTGCTGCATGTTTGCGTCAGCGCGTGCAATGGCCGCTTGTTTTTAGACTATTGTTTTATGAAGGTCTTTTCGGTGATAATTACAATAACTCAGACGCCGAAAAGGATGAACGTTTCCTCCATTCTTTGTTGACGTGACATGTAGTGAGGTACCAGTCATTAATCAGTGTGTCATCTCAAGTACGATGAGGGGAGTTTTTCGTTAGTTAGGTAGCTCCGCACAAAGTTGTACACCTTGGACCTGTCTGATTGAGCTGCTTTAAAGCATAGTTTTCAAATGAAATATTGCATGATATAATCTATGTGATTATATTAATATACGTATACACAAAAAGGTGCTACCGAATTTCTGATGCTCGCTCTACTTGTGCATTTTACCAGGTCAGCTGCGCCAACATATTGATCAAATTAGATCGACACTAATTGACTAATGTGTAGAGCAGGCATAAGCAGACTATGCAAAATTAAAACATTACTGTATTTTACTTTGATTTTACTACCATTAAAACAGCCTCGCAACTCGAGGGTATACTTAATTGTTTGAAAATTATACAAAAAGAAGATTAAATGAGCCTATGGTCGGTTACTGCATGGTTTAGGTAAATTGTGCATATCCAAATTAAAATTCGGCGACTAAAAATTTGTATCAATTACCACTATATACTAACAAATTAAGTTAAATAAGGATTAAATATTGGTATAATACAGATATGTTAGTTTTTGTTGAGAAAATTTTAGACAGTGTAGGTACGCTTAAAATATACCCAATTATGCAATATTTTGATAATGTTTCTTGGTCTTATACATTAAATTGCAGTGATTTAGTAGAGTGATTTAAATATCTATATAATGTTTAAAATAATTATTACTCTGATTTCCGTCTAAAATCACAAACATAATGAGGTCATTCTTTAAGTAGAAAACAGATTAGTTTATATTTAGGAATGACAAGGAAAATTTGTATATCCTGATGGTTTAATTATTATGAAAATATAAATCAACATCCTGTTTATTGCTATTAATTTTATCAATTTAAGTTTGCATTTATTGAATTGATAACATTAAAAAAGTATTATTCTAAATTCTACTTTTATATAGATAAGCTGTGTCTGTGTCGCAACCAACTAGTTAAAAAAATGGAAACGACCTCAAATTTAAAATAGTGAAATATAAAAGCGGGTACTTACCTTAAAAGCGGGTAATTTTTTTTAAGAAACATTATTTTTTATGTTTTTATTTCATGCATTTTAGTGATTATTTTGAGTTTTGGGATAACAAACATCACGCATACTTAATGCAAATTTAAGACTTATATGGTTTTCTCATAGATGCCATTGCCAGAGCTGGATCATTAAATGATTATGAAAACCATCTAAATCGATCCACCCAGTAAAAAGGCATGAGGTAACAAACAGAAAAAATTGGGGGACTAGCCATGTAATTGAATGGCGCCATTCAATTGCACGCCCAGTTTTCTATTCGAATCAGATGACGTTTGGACTTTTCTACGAGACGGCTGATTTAAAAGACGCCAATGCGTTCATTTTGTTTTATTATCTGTTAAAAAAATAAGCTCGAGATTTAAATTTACTAAAAATTTACCTATCACGTGACCTATGTTGTCATTAACTATGGTAGCACTAAATTTCTAAATATTAAATCAATCTAAAACAATTGCAGTCAAATACATTCAATGGATGGTGCTGTGGTCGGAACGAACGAACGTCTTTGTAAAATGGTGTTAATATTAAGAATTTATTATGAAAGTTTAAGCTTAATCCACTTTCGTAATGGGTGTGTACGCTAGCTCAAGGTATTGGATAATATGGACCATTAACACCCAGTCGCGAATAATCAGTTTGTAATCATCTTTTTGATCAGTTCTGTATCTGTTTTGATTACAGATCGATCGTACAAGGAGTTTTTGATTTTTAAATAAAATCACCCACTACAATATTTATTTTGTTTTACTTCTAATCCTACCAATAAATTTCGGTTTTCTCGATGAATTGACAGTTAATTAGTCGGCTAACCTGTTCAGCCGTATAGAACTTCGCGTTCAAGTACTCGGCTGATTGAAAGTCAGCCGCCCAATTAGTTGGCTGATTATACCATTTCGCTGCGATATCTGCCCTGCATGTGATCGAGTGGTTTTAAAATTTTGTAACGACAAATGCAGTTCTTTTTTTTACATATTATGTTATTTTAAATGACAATTTTGAATTCTCTATTTTGTTCATTGATTACTTTTAAAATAATAATAAAAAATACCTATAAAGCGCTTTTTGTTTTACTTAAATAGGTATGGTCGCCCAGTTAGGGATGAATTAACATTTTTAGGATTTTTTAAAAAACGTCTGAAATTGACATATGTATTATTGCATAGGCAGTATCACATAAATTACTCAGATCCTAAGTAAAATCTGTAGAAGAATGTATAACGAAGGGACCACAACACCCAGACCTTAAAAAAATATAGAAAAGAAAATAATTTCTAAACTCACCCGGGCAATGAACCCAAGACCTCAGAGATAGTGACATCTTGAAATCGGCGTACAAGCCACGGAGTGCGTCAAATATATATGTATATATATTACTTAGTGAAGAGATAACTCAAAAACTGTAACCTCGAAACAGTTTTGCTCCATTTGAAATAGGATGGGTACACAAATGTCGATATTTGGGTGTCACCTAGTGCCACACGAGCTCACTGAAAGAAACCTAATGTATGTACGTATACTTCGCTTGCAATTCTTTAATAAGAAGACTAGCATTAAAACAACCAATTTTACTATATTCGTATGTTACATGTACGATATATAATAAAAATACAACGATATTTACATTTCTAGTGATTGAAATACCTCCTTTGTCAATAACAATCACTTATTTTATTGCGTATATCTACGAAGATTCACGAATTACGGAAAAAAACAAAAATCTTCCCCCCTTTGGCAATATTGGAGTGGCCATAAAAGAGAAGTGGCAGTAAAGACGATAGCCGGAATAGCTCTTTTGATGCTCCTGATATCTTTGTTGAAGCGACGCAATTCTGGAACGTATTACCCCAGTATTTAAAGGCCGATGAATACTATTTATGTTTTAGTGTTACAGCTTATAGTGTAGTTGTTATTCATTAACAGTATAGAATCGGAGAAAAATCGCTATTAGAAATTAAGAGCCAGTTCAAATATTTGGAAAGAATGCCTGATAAAAAGAAATAATAACGAAAATGAAATGTGGAGAAATCGGGACACAAAACAGATTTTCTTAATCGAATTAATCACGTGTTATCGGAATATGACAGCATAGACCATAGAACCGGCGAGTATGTATTAGAATTGAGAATAATTAGAATCTCAAGGAATTGAAAGATGTATGTAAAGACTGTGCCTTCTGGTGTTGAGATATCTCTGCAAACCCCGCGAGTTATTTACGTAAAGATATTGATTGATACATTTAGATTTGACCACATGGAAGGATAGTACTCATGGTCCTACTCCGCAAATATGAATCCTGAAATTCACAATTGTGTAGTAGACGGGACGCAATAAAATTAACAAAAGTTGAGGATAAACGAAATAAGTATTTAAGTAGTCATTCTATGTTACTGAGAACTAAATACCATACTAATAAATCTAAGTTCTCTAAGTTTCGGATTAAGTGAGTCTCAGTTCTACTGTGTCAGCCATAAAGTAAAAACTTAATTAAATGTCATAAAAATGTTATTATTAGGGTTGCTATTCTATCCTATTAATAGGATCATATTTTAATATCTGACGCTAACATGTGTACCGCGAACTTGATATCTCAAATTACTGTCAAGGTACGAAGATTTATAAAAACCTGTAAAAACTCCTAAAACACGATATTATTAATGTTATTCAAATTTTAAATTGACAATGATCATTCGGAAAACACGAAATGCGATATTTCGCATCAAAAATAAGTTTCGGATTCAATTTGTTACCAACATCAATATCAGAGAATGGAAAAACATTTTTGATGTCATTTATGTATGACTAAATACAGCAATTGAAGGGCATAAATAATTTTGTTCATTGAATGTCGAAATTTACCAACATTTCTTCACACACCAGTTTTTATTTTGTTAGAAATTATCCACAATGTTCCAAGAATTCCAGTCAATAACTTAGCATCATTGCATCTGCGCCAGGCATTGACTTCACGATTTTTTTTATAGCAAACGGGCTGCATTCTACTCCCTTCGCAACCTGTTTAGAACGTAACCCCCATACAACTTGCATACGCGCTCGACATGTCAACACAACACGTGTTCGCAATACATACATATAATACACAAATAATAACATTTTGCTAGCTATGTATGTATGTAGTGGGAAGGGTCAGTCCCCTCCCCGCGCGCTCACCCTCTCTGTATCGATCGCGCGCGCGATGTTGCCAGCTCGCTACTTTCCCCACGGCGTTGCCAGCCCGTTCGCGATTATTTAGATAATGTAACAAGACCGCTCGCGTACTTTATTACTTGTTGCTGTTTCTCTCAGTACGTATATACTTCTTTGGTGCCCTTCGATATCATTTACTATCGGGAAAACGATACAGATTGATTTTTGATATTTATAAATTTGTAATCTCTGTTGCGTTTGCAAAGGTGCAAACAACTTGTTATTCTTTAATGTCAGTTTAAAGATGACCTTCGCCCGATGCAAGGACTTATTTAGATTAGATTAGAACACAGTTTCGACTTACATAAACAAAGTTATTAAATAAATTTTAACTTTTGAAGTAAGTGCTCTGTCCTATTTAACATTATTATTTATTAGTTATCTATTTATAATGTCTTATTATAGGTAGGTACATAAGTACAAATGTCTGTATGGTAAAAATAGGATTCACGGTAGCACCGCGTTTTTTGACAAATCACATGAACATTTTTACTATGACTCAAGTCCTGCTCTTATCTTTTTTATTATGCTAATAACTTCACTACGGAATTCCAGTTTCTGATCCACGCTGAACTGTCTCACGGCAGGTAAAAGAGAACTGAAAAAGGAACGGTCCTCATCCTCTTCCGTAAAAATGGTGTTGCAAGTCATATCTGGGAAACTGTCTACAAACTCTATTCCTTCAGTCTTTTTCTTTTTGGATTCCAAATTTGAATCGTCGCTAGGCCAAGCGTCGTTCGAGTCATCGAATTCACGCTTTTCTTTTTTTATCGATTTTATATTGTTGCTAGTGTCATCGTTTTTGTAGATTTCATCGAGAAAAATAAGCTGAGCGGCATACATATAATTCTTCTTCGAGTTCGACCTCTTGGATTTTACGTAGGAGTCCCGTATATTCCGCCACTTGTCGTGTAGTTTTTTATCTGTAACCAATTAATGTATTTTTATTCAATCAGGTTTCCTCTTTCTTTTATGACTTGTGTGACCTATTTATTTAATTTGTAGATATTTACAATAAATTGCTATATTAAATGTAAGTAACTGAGATGCTTAGTAATTGAGACCTTATTTTCAAAATTTACTAACCTACCAATTCCTTTTATTAGTTTAAAACTTAAGAATAGAACACAAATGGGCTTTAGTAACTTAATTCGGAATCAGATTATGTGAAAGTGCACGTGCTTGCGTGTGAAAACGACATTAGCCTTCATTACAACGAATCCCGGTCTTCATAAACCGAAGTAGATACTTACAAAAGATAGTTTTTTCACTATTCGGGATGTCGTCGAAGCGGTCTATGAATACACTAGCTATTTTAGACCAAGCGCGCTGTCGTCTCTTCAGGTATCTATAATCCTCACTGTTTATATCCCATAATACAGGGTACTTTTGCACTTCACTTAGAAAATGTTCCGTGTCGATTTGATTAGATTCCATTTTAGAGTAATGAGTTCAATTATAATATATTATTTTTGTTTGTTGTCGCATGATAGCACACGAACACAGCTATAGTGGACGGGCGGTCGGACCGCAATGAGAGTGACGCGGCGTTGCCGGCGCGGCGCCGCAGCGGAGCCGCACCTCGATTAAAAGAGACTTGGCAACGTCGCGCTGCCGCCGCGCCCGGCCCGCTGATAAATGGACAAAGATATTCGTCTTCGAATACCAGGGGGCCAATTCTACTAAATAAATTTCATTTAAATCGAATCGAAAACGGAACGAAACCGAACGAAACTACAACTTTTAGTGGTTTTCCTATTCTACTCGGTGTCAAAATGGCGTCAAACGATACAGTTCCGGTTCTATTTTAGTTTAGCTAACTATCGATCAACAGAAACTGTAAACGGTATTCTACTCGCTCAATCGAACATAGAACTATACAGATGTAGTTATGCAAACCGGAACCAACCCACAAATCTGTCAAAATCGAATTATGTGCAGAGAAGCCTAAAAGTGTTGCAATTAAACTCAAATGTTGTAAATTCACAAAATTTCTTGATAAATAAATAAAATAAAATATATTCTACAAACAATTATTACTAAAAACAAGAAACCCATTTTTCTCAAAACTGACATCATGTGGCTGGTTTGCATAACTACGTCCATATACTTGAGTCGATCGTCGGCCCTTATTCCACTAAAATTTTGACACTTCGTTGGATCGAAACGCTACTGAAACGTTACTAAATCCGAACGTTTCATCTGTCAAAATTAACGATTTCTAAAAAGTTGCAAATTTCTACTTTTTGACGATCGATAGTTAGCGTTTAATGATAGATGTGAAACAATTTATATTATTTAAAATTTTAAGAGGTGCAATTAGGTACCCCCAATTGCTGAGTGAAATAAAATGCCTTGATCCATCTTCAGAATTGATAATTAAAAACATTTTGCCCTACAAAAGTAACTTCGGCAAACATAGGTATTTGTAGTGTTTGTATAGAAGAAGTTTTATCTCGGTACATTGGAGAGCTGCGAAACGTGTTCATCGGTACCTGAAGGCTATAAAAAATAGGAAACTGACCTATAACAATAGTGGTGATCTAATCGGATTTGCTGATGCCGATCATGGTGGTAATCTGGTGGACAGACGATCCTATACAGGATATGTTTTCCAAATGTGTGGTTCAGCAGTGTCATGGGAATCACGTAAACAGAGAACCGTTGCAACATCAACAACAGAAGCTGAGTACATGGCTCTAAGTGAAGCCTGTAAGGAAGCCATCTACATTCGCTCATTACTAAGCGACATCTTTTGCTTTTCGTCACCCATCACCATTAATTGTGACAATCAAAGTGCCATCAAATTAACAAAAAACAACACGCATCACGCCCGCACAAAACATATTGATATTAGACATCATTTTGTTTGTGAGTCTATATCCACTAAACAAGTCAATGTGTCATTCATACCATCAGCTCACCAAACAGCAGACATTCTCACAAAGCCACTGCCTAAGCTGAGACACTATATGTGCCTAACTAATTTAGGATTAGTTTAGTGTTATTTGTTTTGTGTTATTAGGTTAATTAGGTTAGGGCATCATGTTAAGGTACTTTTGATATTATAGTGTTTTTGTACATACAGTGTGTTTATATAAAGGGTGTACATAAGTGTCCTGATTACGGGGAGGTGTAGATAAAACCTTTTTCTATATTAATCAGACACTGGCATCTTTTCGTATACCTTTTTGAATTAGTATTTTATACACTGTTTTTTGTTTTTATGTCACTCTCTTCTTTACTCTCATCTGACTTTTATGTATTTACAACGTGAAATATATTAAATACTCCAATCCACTGTGACTTTTAATTCCTACATTTTAAGAGTTTGTGAGTGAGTTATCAATAGACTGTAAAGAACATAATAAGTTGTGTAAATCCATTGATATGTTTGCTTTATCATTAATTATTTATAAAAATACCTTATATTAAGGTACCAAAAAATTTTAATCTTTAACTGTCTAGCACTTCAAGCATATAAAATTTTCTATCCAATATTATTTATTTCACAAAGATACAAGGATACTTTCAATGAGCACCCTGACGTCTGAAGTAAATATACAAAATCTGGGTATCAAACACCAGATTCCTCATCTACCTCATGAGAACATAGCAATCCATGTGATATAAATTATGTAAAATGATTAGAAAAAAAAATGAAATCGAAAACTATGGAGCTAGATAAACAAGTGTGATAGTGTTTAATAAACTTTTTATGTACACCATTTCATCTATTTGTTATAGATAGTTCTGTAATTTTGTGGTTGCTTATTGATATGTAAAAATGTTGGCAGACTTTAAAAATAAAATAAATTATATCTTGATTATTAATCTTAAATTATTATTTTTTATTAAAAACTTACATTTTATAGATAAATTAATAGGTTTTCATTCCTCTATGAATTTGAAATGTTGAATTCATATTATGTAGATTCTTAACATAAATAAGGTCCACCTAGTTGAGGCATGTAATGTAAATTAAAATTGAAAAATTATATTTCTGTTAAAACTTTACATAATTATAAACAATCATTGTAAATAGGAACATCGTAAAAATCATTATTAGATTGTAGGGGCTTTTGGCTTTAAGTAAACTTATCTATGATTATAAAAACATGAATTTTTGAATATTTTGTATTGAAAAAAGTAAACTATTGTAGTATTTTTACAGGAAAACTTAAAAGTGTGTATTTACAAGCATGTGTGGAATTCCAATAAAAATGGCACTGAAAAAGTCCTTGTTTACAAATTAATTAATTTATCATTATTTTTTCTGATCACTTTTGCATTTGCAATACTATATCGATATTTATCTTAAAGGAAAATAATTAAAAAACCCACTTCAAGCAATTAGTGCTTGAGGTGGGATTTAAACCCATAAACACTCACAGTCTGGGCGTCTGCTAAAACCAATTTAACTACCAGATAACCAGCAGGTTTTGTGAATTTAAGAATTACTTGCATTACTAGTGAGCATATGCTCATTTATGTTTAGGAAGTTCACCAAAACTATATTAATAATACCATTATAGAGAATAGAATAGAAAATTCTTTATTGTTAACATTACACAAGTTATATAGGTATACAAATTTAAAACAGTTTAACAAAATAATGTAACAATTGGCGGCCTTATCGCTTAAAGTGATTTCTTCCAAGGAATCATGGGATGGAGAGAGAGAACAATTTATGAAGACAGGGGTGTAAATTTTATCAATAACATTAAAAAGAAAATATGATCAAATAATAATCTTAATTAAAAAATTATAATTATGATTTTTTTTTTTCTGACATAAGTATTACTCACTTTTTTATTTGGAGATTATAATATTATAAAGGATTATTACATCATATCATCATCATGTTTAAAGGATTGTTAAACAGGTAAATATACTGTTTATAAGATTTTATTCTGAATTATTTTTAATTAAAAAAAAATTACATAAAATTGAGCTTAGCTGCAGCTCAGTTTTATGTAACATTTGAAACATTAACATTTGAGGCTTTCTGTAACCATATATTAAGTTGCGTGCAAGATAAATGTTCAGCCTAATTAATATTACCTACATGAAAAATACATATTCTACTGTTTTTGACACAAAGTTAAAACCAACCACCAATTTTAACCCAAAGAAAACAGTCATACGCTATGATGGGTTACAATTTAGAACAGAAAAAATAAGCCTGTGAATCAGGAGCTCTTGTTCAATTTAGCAGGAATTTATATGTGTAAGTTCTTTTATATCAGTTGAAACTTATACTTAATTTGCTCATAGTCAGCATGGATGACAGCTGCGAGCAGATCCATGCAACTACAAGAATTTAATTTGTATACAACTTAATGTGAAAGATATGTCAAATCATTAATAATTTTCTCTGATCTTACTTATAATATCTAGTCAATAATGACATTTCTAATGGGTTACTATAACAAACATTGTTTTAAATTTAATCTTGTATAGATTTTCCACAGTATATATTATGTTGCCTTGCTTGATTCGGTGTACAGATGTAGGTATAGCCAGATTTCGAAAGATATTGGATTCATTTCATCATCAATAATTCTCTCTTAAATGTCTACTTTCAGTCGACTATCGTTTATCTTCTTCACTATGTTATTAATACGTATGAATATTTATTTTCAATCGAAAACTTCTTCTTTTATTAAGGGCTTTCGCATAATTCTGCCAATTTCACGTGCGTAGCCAATACATGGTATGAATTATTTTATAAAATTAATTTTGTAAATAATATTTTCAAGTATAATGTTTCACTTTCTATTACAGTTTAATATTACAAAAAAATACACATATGCGGATTGTTTTAGTAGATATCCCATATTAAATTGTCATTTACAATTCAATTTTGTCAATTTCATTCTTCTTTTATTAATGGTATATCTGCGCATTTCACACAATTCTGCCAAAGTCAAGTGAATAAATTAATTTCTACATGTAAAATGAAAAAGTAATGAATGAAAGATTAATTAAAACATTGTCTGTATAATTGTGGTTTGTATTGACAAAAAGTGAATTGGTGTTGCAATATGAAAATCAAACATCGATTGGAAAATAATCGATTAATTCACTATATGTAATAGAACTGCAGTAACATTTATTGAATAAAAAAAATTTTACTATACTTTTAGTTAATTTTGGTGCAATTTTGCATTTTTCCTAAGTTTTGCGGACTACTACGGTTGTTGATTCAACAATGCCCAAATAAATAAATATATATATATTATTATTATTATGTAATTTCCAATGCCCGTAATTGGAAATATTATATGAAAACCTAATGAAGTTACTAAAGTCATATGCAATCATCATTTAACTTTAACATTTAATTTTTAGTACAAACAAATATATAAATTTAATGATTATTTTTGTTGTACATTCTTTTGAAACGGAGTTGTTTAAAGTAAAGTATACACCTCTGGATTAATGCTCGTCCTAGTCTTGGACTGATTGCATACCTCACTTATTACAGTTTGTTAGTGACCGAAAATGAGTCAAAACTTTTCTGTTCACGACCTACCTATTTAGGTACCGTTTTATTTTACGGAATCATATTATTCACTTTCATGCTACTTTATCTCACATAATAACATTTATTTTGCGAATTAAAACTCGGTATAAACAATAAAATAAACCAACACCATTCGAATTTTGAAACTTAACTCTTTAAGCTTGACGTTATCTTTAGTCGACGCCAGGATTTATAGTATTTCATCTGACTTTTTTGTTAATTAAAAGACTTAATTATATCGGATTTATGCTTTAAATATTAAACATGTTTAAAATTGAGTGCTTAATAAAAGTTAGAATTGGGTATATGACGATTTTCTGAAAACTAATTAATTAAAATAGTTGTTTGATACATTATAAACACACTGTCAATATATTACATGAGAATCTGTTCTATTTTCGATGAATATAATTGTTTAAATCTACAGATTCTAAGAAATAAACTTTTATTAGATTATTATCTAACATGATGATAATAGTACGAAACTTATTTTTATAGTGTCAAATACCCATAATGATAAAAATATTAATTATAAATTCGCGTTTTGGGTATTTTCCCTTATAGCTTAACACTTAGGTATGCACTTTCTTAATGTAGCTAATATTCGGGTGTTTCGTCCATATTTTAAAACGTTCGAATAAGAATATAATAGATTCATTACGTACAGAAATGATAAAAAAATCAAGGAATGAATAATCATTAATCGTCTCCCGTTTAACTAATAATTTCATTTATTTTATTCTGGTAACACTAATGACAGCTGTTTGGTTCGGCTGCGATTTGGCTCCGATTACGTTTCAGTTTAGTAAACGTTCGTTTGATAATTTACGTTAGCGGAATGCAAATTTACAGCAAAAATCGAAACGTAACCGTTACAGAAACGCTATTGATGATCGATCGTTGTAAATTAGTAGAATTGGCCCCCAGGATGCTAGCTCTCGAACGCAATTGCCGATCGACATTGCAATTGTGCTTCTCCGCACTCTTCATTGGATACACTAGGGCCAGTGTATTCTAGTGAAGCAATAAAGAGTACGGAACAGCGTAATTACAATGTCGACCTATCCCGATTGCGTTCGAGAGTAAGCATGCTGACCTGTCAATCAACAGTGGTAAATAATATTCTTGAAGAGTTCAGTTGCAATGAGAAGATGCGATGACAAGTTCATTTATTCATCCATTAACAATAAATAAAATGTGCACGCCTCTTCTCAAGTAGAATACATACTGTGCCTTTTTGATTATTTGTGACCCTAATGAATGACATGTATTCTGGTAAATAAAGATCTCATCTAGGATGGGTGATCGAATTTTTAAAGAATTGTAAAGTCAATCCAATAGTTTCGGTGCCTATGAGCATGGGCAGATTTACATATATAGAGTAAGCCAGAGACAAACCTATAGCCAATATTAAAATTATAAACGCAAAACGGCTACCTGCCTGAAGCATCTTTTTCCAAATAAATCATTAACTAATTTGTCTATACATTATGCAAATAGGTTAATGAAAATGGCCCTACTAAATTTGTTATTTTATTCTGCCGGCGAGCTTTTTATTTCAACTGCGCTATAAACTAAGCTGTCCGATACATAAAGTAACGTGCCAACTTACAGAATGATCGCGCAACTTTGCAATTTAAGACTGGAACTTTTCAGAACGGAACTCTTTAAGTTACCAGAGAGATATGGTGTGCTGCCAGATAACTTGGCGTTATTTATTCGCGTCTGTCTTTTGTTTTTTTTTAGCTTTTTAATCGTTTACTGCTTGCCAATATACATGTGCTTACTGTACATTTAGAGTACCTTTGGTTAAAAGGATGAAAAGGGGATCCTAGGATTGAAGAGAGTCATTAATAAGGTCCTGTTATACAATGATAACTAAAGTTTGTACTCAAAATCAAATTGAGACGTGCTGACGTGAGACGTCGAATTAAGGTTTAAACCTGGTACTAAAGTAAGGCCAACAGTCTTATTATGTTTCTGATAGTCTGAATCAGTCTCTCACACCTTAACGTGGTATGTGATTTTAAGAGATTGCATAATCCATAAAGTTCGTCATTGTATGAACTTTTGATTTGACCATGGATAATTAATAAGCTAAATGAAAGAATACACAGAATTCAAAGTTATGTTTAATGGAATTACAGTCCAAATTCACTAAGACAGAAAACTCCTGTGTTTTTTAAACTTAAAGGTGATTTTATCAATTTCTACATAAGAAAAGTAAATCTATACAAATCTTCAATCTTCACTCTCATAACGTTGTCTTTTAACATCTAGACCGTTCTTTTCAAGAGTGTTTGTGGGTTGTGTATCATTATAATGGCACGACACTGCTTCCTGCATAGCGTTAGCTATCTGCGCACGCACCCACATCTTCAGGTGCCCGGGCAGCTGTCTCATCTCCGGCACAAAGGACAGCATGAACAACTTGTCACTGTCATCGCCGTCGTTGATCGTTTCAAGTGAAAACATTGGCATTTCCATCTCCTCTGGGGCAGGTATGCTGTCGGTGGATCGTCTTTTCCGTTTACTTTTCCTAGGCTTCTTGAGTTTGGGGGTTTCAGGCGTATTCTCTCGCTCTGTTAAGATCATAGTGTCGTCTGGATTGCTTTTACACTCTACTGTTTCTTGTTCATCCCTGTAACAATTTTTTGTATTTTATATAAAGTAGTAAAAACTCACTAAAAGGTAGACAGAAATTTTAACATTTAGTGTGTGAAGTATTCACCTAATGAGTTTTATAATGATTGACTAGCTTGATTTGCTGGCTGCGTAATTATTAAACTTTAACAAAAAAAGAGAATTCAGGAGCAATGACAGCTGCTGGATGAGACACCACCACCTGCGTTTGATATAGTCGTTACAATGACATAAGATCTATTATCCACATGAACACACTATCGATATTTTATTGATCAATTTCTTACAGTGCACGATCTTATAAAATAATTACAATCATCTGCTGTACATACAAACGTATACTAATTAAATAGAATCGCTTAAATGTTTCGCTGAATGATGATGATGATGAATTTGTCCAGCCACTCTTGATGACCGGCTGGACAAATTAGCTTTTTGCATATGTATTTGTTGTTACGAAAAGAAAAAAAAATTATTACAAAGTTTGACGAGATGGATTCAATTAGTTATAATAATGTCTTTTTTAGGTTTCTTAGACAAACAGAACTAAATGTACGTTTTATCACAATTCAGTTCGCAGGTCTTGGATAAAGGAGTCTACGGTAGGACAAACTTGCTCAGAAAGAAACTAATCATTCTCGCCTTAAATAGTTCTGAGTTATGGAGCAACAAAAACGTATTTGTAATCTTATAATTTCATTTATTACTCACTCCTCGCTGACAGATCCCGTGAAACCTCCGAGGAAGCTCATCCTTTTGAAGTACTTGTATACCCTTTTGCGTTCCCTGTCGCCCGTTTTGCGCGCGCGCAGCTCTCTGTTATACGCATCGCGTAAAGACCTCCATTTCCTTTGCAACTGGAGCACTGTCGATGCCATGAGAAAATTTATTCGATGTTTAGTTTTAATACTTAATAAACAATTAAACTATTCCATGGGGTGAAAAACTGAGTTATTTGACTTCGGTGTAGCCGACATATTAAACCTAAGTCTTGTTTGATAAATGTGTACGCTCATTAGCTGTGAAGATATATGTAAATGAAATTAATTCACGTGAGATGTCCGGTAGCTCACTTGGAGCACTCGGCTGAATAGCCAAAGTATTTGCTTTTTGAGTCGAGCCTAAACGCCTACTCTGTTAACGCCTTTTTCGATATTTTTTATGCAACGGAGGCACCTGATGCTGCCTATGATGCATAGATAATCTTCACGGATATGATTTTAACAAAATTATAAGATTGTTTCGAAATTATGTTTGTGCACAAACAGGGTTGACCCTCTGGTTTATTTAGCTATTTATTTTCGAAATATTATTTAAGTCAAGAAAAAGTAACATTTCCATTTATTTTAATTTTATTTAGTTAAAGTTCGGTTAGGATTTGATTGAGGTCCTACCGATCTTAAAACCCTTATAGGGCGACAAGAATAATTCATTCTCTTGTTTTGTCAGGCATGACCTAATCTCCCGGGACTATGCACGGAATGAGATTGTCGGCTAAACGATTCACCCGCCCTCTTCAACAAAATGTGTACAATGAAAATGGAAATGAATACTTTTTTATAGCGACAGTGCGTTGATGACTTTATATTGTTAGTACTCGCTAATACTGTACAAAAAATGAGATGGTAGTATTATATTCATATTGACCAAGCAGGAATACTACTGTGTATTAATGGTGATCGCATACCTAACAAAGCCGAAGGAGGCGGAAGCAACCAATTATCTTTACACCTTGCAAATTGATGACAGGTGACATAAAATTCTGACGATTCTTCGTGTACATGTATGCGATTGTTCATATGTTTTCATACAAATAATTCTAAAATTTTGCATACAATTCTAAATGTTATATTAGATACATATTTAGCATTATTTTTATATTTAACTAATGTGTGTCACGGATATCGACCGCGTCTACATGATGGTTTGATGGTACGTTTAACCCTATGGAACCATTTTAGTAGGATAAAAGTAACCTATGTGTAAGCCTTAATATAATTAAGCCTTATTATTATGCATATACCAAATTTCATAAAATCCGCTTAATAGTTTTTGTGTGTGGAAGCAACAAACATCCGAACCTACAAACTTTCGCCTTACATGTGTAAGAAGGAATATGGTATTATGTATTTATTGCCTTTATTTTATTGAATCTATAACCGGGAAACTGCAAACCTGCTGTGCACGCCCATTCACATGTACAAACGGCAACAAACCGACTCTAAAAACAACACGGAGCATCCTCGGGAGTTGTTAGACCTTACAATTCCGACCCATTGAATCTATTTATAATCTATGCGTCGCCTAATATTGTTATCGTTTAGTATATCGTTTCTGTTTTGTCCCTATAAGAGTCATACATAACACTGAAAAAATAGTCACCTACCGTAACAATAATTAATTAATTAACATCAAATAATTACCCACAAACAATTTTTATCTAAAATTCTATAAATATAATTATCCTTTGACAAACCATTTCAGTACGGTTAACACTCTATTAATAACCTCGCGAGTTAACTTGCCTCTGGTGATTTAAGTTTTTATTGACATTTGAACGCCAAAAAGAACTTAAATTTACATGACGGACAAATTAACTCGCAACTATCCTTAGGAAAGTATATATCGAGGGCACCATAATATCAATTATGCTGCATAAAATTTTTAAGCAATTACTGTCCTTAATAAACGCAGTAAAATGTACAGATTTGTATAAAACCTATATAAGATTGCATCAGATCAGCATTCCTTGCATTCAGTCATTTAGTTTCCTTACTAAACGAGTGACCAACAGCTGACATTGATGGACAACAAACCATGTTTAATATGCATTCCGACATGTGAATAAAACAAACTAACAATAAATCTAAGAGTTTGTAACTAACGACTTTTTATATAAATCAATCTTACAAAAGATCAAGTCGTTCATTGTGTAACACGTATACCGTAGCAGACTCGACTGCTAAAAAAAGAATAATTAACTCTATCTTATTTATTTAAATTTAACACGTAAATTGCCCTAATTTATATAATATACCCAATTGACTAATTAAATGGATCGAAACAACTTAACCAGCTAATTAATCTGGAAGTTCATTAAAGATCGCTTTCGATGATAAGGTCTCCCATGATAAGGCCTCCCATGATAAGGCGAACCTTGTGTTGATGTTTCGAATACCAAAGAGAATTTTAACCGCTACATTTTACCAAAATACCTTTGTCGTACGCAGTGGCCTTGTTGTAACTGTCCCAGTCAGAGTAAATGGCCGCCCCTACTTCTTTCCATAATGCCAGCTTCTCTTCTCTGTCGACGGGCTGGTCCGTTTTATAAAGGGCAGGACGTCTTTTCACTTCATCAATCAAGTCCGGTGGGTTAAAAAAAGATATATCTGACATTTTTTAGACTGTTTCTAGTTAATACTACGTGTATCAATTATCACAAAACACTAGCTCCGCAGAGTTGCGCCGCGCGACTGAGTCGAGTCGAACGTGCGCACGCAGACACGATTCCGATTGGTCGCAACCACGACACGCCCCTCTGCGACCGTGTCGTACGCTTGTCGACCACCTACGTCATGTAGCTGGACGCACCGACGATTTTGTCTCCCATTCGACTTCAATCAAATTCTCGAAAACTTATAAACGGCTTTTTTGTATTGACTTCAAGACTTCAAATTCGCAATTGAGTTGCATTCATAGATTTATTTTTGTGTAACAATTTGCCGACTTGCATCCGCCAAGAAATCTTCATAGAGTAAATTTTATAGTAAAAAGAATTTAAACACTACTTTTTATGTTATGAAATATTGAAAGCTTTTGAAGTTTCTGACGAAGCTTTGGAAGCAAAGTTCAAAATATTTTTAAAGAGTGGAGTAAAGAAATAAGTAGAACAGATGGAAAACAGTGTATAAAGGAACAGGTGAAATGATGAACGCTCAGATGGAATATAATTATTAAGTCTATGGATGAATGCGAATTGATAAAAGAGTAAAGTATATTTGACGTATGTATTTTTTTTTTGTATGAACGCAAAGGAATCCTTAGATTGCACCTTGGATTTAATAAATCTATGATCGATTACCCATTTCAACATTTCGCTGTATCTCGTGATTATGCTTGTGATTATTTTTAAAATAAAAAAACATGGAATCAGTATTTTTAAAATATCTGTGTCTTGATCTTGTGTCTATTTTTAAAGTTAATTTAAAACACTTGTTTGCGGTGGTCGGTGTTAGGTCCGCACTAGCTGATATTATTTACTAGCTAGTATGGGACCCGGTTTTCTGAAATAAACGATTTATTATTATTATCATTATTATTTGAACCACAAAAACTCTTTAGTTTGTTTCATTACTGCAGTTTTATTGAAGTTCTTATTACATGAATTAGAATATCTATTTTGCTTATTTTAGATTCTTCTGCAAGTAGGTGGTATTCTGTTGCGTTAATATAACATACCTACATCTTTAGATAAAAATATAGCCACACTGTGAATGGCTCTTTGTTAGTGTAGTCAACAGAATATCAAGCACGTCATACAAAACTAGCAAATTTCTTCACTTAATTTTTTAACCTTATATCTACATATATTCAATGAATATACAATCAGAAATTTGATATATTGTAGAAAAGTGTACCGTGAGTACATATAGTACAAGTATTCAATAATGTTTTATTTGCAATTAGATATTTTTCTTTCGCAATGTTAAGGTACTTATGTAGTAAAACCAGCTTACATCCTATTAATATTATAAAGGCGAAAGTTTGTAAGTATGGATGTATGGATGTTTGTTACTCTTTCACGAAAAAACTACTGGACGGATTTGGATAAAACTTTACAGCAATATAGGTTATACATCAGAATAACACATAGGGTACTTTTTACTGGGAAAACTTCTCACTCCCACGGGATACCGACTTCCACGCGGACGAAGTCGCGGGCGTCCACTAGTATTGTAATAACGAATCTTATTGCAATGCAGATCCTAGCAAATACTTAAATGAGAGTTGATGATAACAAACGTAAGGCTGACATAAGATCAATAGATCAATAGTAACTACGTGCTTTTATATCTTGTATTATATCCGCGTTTAATAATAGCTGCTTTACGCTTTTATTTTTTCTTAGTTAAATATGGAATAATGACATAGATTCTTTATGTTTTTATCTGTGTAATTATTGCAATGCAAGGTATGGTGTACCTACTTTACATTTAATTATTACGAGCAATTCTTTGTCCAAAAGCACATCAATCTAACTTGATTCGCGCCGCCCTGTTATGCGCGCTCTAAACAGCCACTTTTGATCAAAATCGATTTGCTCGTATTGATTTCTAATATTTTCACGCGCACTATCTACAAATGAAACAACTTTTAAACGGTTTACGGATACTATTGGACACATTTGGAAGGTAGCTAAACTTTTAATTAAAAAGACAATTACCATCTTAGTCTTATGTAAACACGGAACTTGTAAAGGGTCGAAATGTCAATATAACTAAATACAGACGCGAAGAAACCATTTAAAAGTTGTTTCATTTAAGGATTAACTCTTTTTACTTTTCACAAGGCGAAAAGTCCTATTTTTATGAAACTGCTATCAACTGATCATTAAAAAGACTAAAATCAGAAATGAAAACATGTTTAAGTGATATTTTAGTATAGTTTGAGACGCGCTTAACTGTCAATAATCAGTTCAGAAACGTGTATGTAACAAAAAATCTCATAAGAAATCGCGAGGTAGTATTGTTTCTTTTCAAATTGCACTATTTTGCCCAATTTACCTGCCTGTCTTCGGTCACATGTCTATGTACACTAGTGTGTGAATAATGCACATAGCTATAATAGCATGACAATGTTGCATTTGCGACGTGCGTTGTTGCCGTCCCCCTCAACCGCTGGTACCGCTACGCGACGTTGCCGCATCGACCCACTTCCAAACGGCAACAGGCGAGGCCCGCTTTTGTAGCCTTTTTTTCTCTTGTTCGCCAGGAGTGCTTACATAAAACATAATTACTTACTACGATTTTTAGATTCCACGACCTTCCTGTGAATAATTGAGTACCTACATTTTGTTGGTTTACGTCAGCAGATGATTTAATAGTACCTACTTATACTCGTACATTGTTAGAATGACTGGGATAGAATTTTAAAGTATTTTATACTATCTATACATAGGTTTACACTTAGCAAAAGTAGCATTTGCTACGGGCCCCGCGCGTTAAGGAATATGCACATTTTTTGAAAATGTTTTCATATGATAATTTACATCGTTATAAGTATAATAACAGTAAAAAATACCCGGTACCGAAAAACAAACATTTTGTTACAATAATAATTGATGAAAATAAGAACAACTACGAGTAGTTTAAACGGCCGAATTTTTATGCGCGCTTGTCGTGCATGACGTCAAAGAACACGATTAGAGATTTTTAAATCTATAAGAATTTTAAGTGATTGATTATTATTATATTTGATAAATTTTACATTCACAATACTATACTGAAAAATATTCTTAGTCAAAAGTGCTCAAAAAAATTCGCTAAGTGTATCCCTGGAACTCTAAGATCCGCATTCCCGGCGACTCCCCCCAGGTCGCTAACGCTATAAAACGTATAAATAAGCTATATACAAATAATTAGATTTCTTTTTTGGACAACCTATATTAATTATATGACTAAACTGCTGTATCATTAAACGTTGACGCTTTAACAATTTGATCAATTTTAGGTGGCCGTTTCATGAAATAGCCGGCCAGATCATGGAATCATCAATTCTATGATATGGCCACGACATATACTTTGCGTTATTGGAGTAATTTTTATAGTCCCTATAAATATTATCAAAGAAGAATGAATACTATTTCGAAAGATGTTTTGTTTTTTACTGAGATATGTTTATTAGGTGTTATATTGCTTCTGGGTCGAGTTACGTGGCTATCATTGATATTAATGATTTATTGTTTGTATAGTTTCAATGCCTCAATTATTTTTGGCTTTGATCAAAATGCCGCGCTTTTAAACCATGAAACTGATGTCCGGCACCCACCTGGTATCTAAGACCACTCTGGCGATTATCTATGTTGGGGATGGAAACAACAGTTTGGAGATTTGAAGGCGTTTATTCTTTCTTCTTATTTGCAGTACAAAGTACGAAAACGTTCGTAGGCATGCTTTCATACAAATCGGGTTTACTTAAGTGGGATTTGTTCGTTCGCACTTAGCTACTATCCTAACGCGTTAATTGACCTAATAGATTCATGTTATGTCGGTGCCCCTTCCACTATGCGGCGGGGAGGTCGCGGGGGGGTGCTCCCGTCGCTGCTGCCCGTGGTGTGCCCCCTCCACTCGTTGCGGGGGTGAGGTTGCGGGGAAGGGTCTTCATGTCCGCCGTCCGTAACAGTTCTCCCCCCGGCGAAGAGACGCTCGAAGAGATGCTCGGAGCCCCTTTCGCCGGATCGGACGGCTCGCCAGGCTCAGGATCGCAGCGCGTCCCTCCCCGCTGGTCCGGGGGAGGTGCGGATAATGTGTCCAGTGTCTCGGTGGTCAGCACGATGAGCTTCCTCGTTGGTCGCCGAAACAGCCCACCTCTGGTGCGTACGTCGGCGCTTCGGATCTCGCCGTCGGGCCCGGGGAAGATGCGTTCGATTACTCCCCGGGGCCAGATGTTGCGCGGTGAGTTCGGGTCGGCGATGATGACGAGATCGCCTACTCGAAGTGCGGCTTCTTTTCTTGTTTCGCCCCTCGGTACCAGCGTCGGAAGATATTCCTTCATCCAGCGCTGCCAGAAACTGTCGGCGAGCGCTTGGGTGGCCCGCCATTGGCGCCTGTCGCAGGGTCGACAGGGGCCGGTGAGTGGTAGACCTGATGATGTTCCTAGGAGGAAGTGATTCGGTGTGAGGGCTTCGGCGTCGGCCGGGCTGACCGATACGTGGGTCAACGGTCGTGAGTTCACCGCGTGTTCGGCTTCGGTCATCAGCGTATGGAGCACCTCTTCTTTCGGTGCCCTCTCGTGCAGCGTTGTGGCTAGAGCTGTCTTGACGGACCGCACTAGTCGCTCCCATGCTCCCCCCTGGTTGGGTGCGCCAGGGGGAATGAACTTCCATTCGACGCGCCGTTGCAGCAGGTAATCTTGTAGTCTGGGGGCCCATTCTCGTATGGCCGCTTGTAGTTCCTTGTCGGCGCCTTTGAAGTTCGTTGCGTTATCGCTCATTATAGTTTTCGGCCATCCACGCCGCGCTGCCATTCTTCTTATCGCCATTATCGCCGAGTCTGTGCTGAGGCTTGCCACAACTTCTAGATGTATCGCTCGGGTGGTTAGGCAAGTAAACAATGCGCCCCAGCGCTTCTCGTGGCGTCGTCCTACGGTGACGGTCATTGGCCCGTAGTAATCGAGGC